TGTCATCCTAAAAGCTTCTGGCAAGGTATATTATGTGAGAACTGGTTTAGAGGTAGGTCTGTCTGAAACATTGCCAACAAGAGAAAACAGAGTCAGGAATAATTATCACAGTCATCCTCCCTATTTTTGGAAGCATAAAACGGATGTGGCATGTTTGAAGCCCTGTCCCGGGAGCCCAAAGGTGGAAGAGGGATTCCTACTGACATTTATTTACTATCCCTACTGGAATCAGTAAGCGTGCCTAAAAGTCAGCAAATTTTGTCATTATTCATGCACATTATTCATGCATCTGACAGCAATGGCAATTTCTTTTAAAACTTTTTCTTAAATTAAAAAAACCTTGCAAAGACTATATAAAACTAGCTTGACAAAGTCTCCATGCTTCTAGGTAGAATAGGATTAGGCTGAAAATAAAGCTATCTCCTACCTTCAGGTATAACCTACAGATATAGGAAAATGCATTTCAAAACTGAAAATACTCACACAATTTTCTAACAAATCCTCACACAATGCACATGGGTTCCTAATACATCCATTTAAAACTAGCAAGAAATAGCAGGCCACAAAAAACAACATGGTGAAAAGAAAACTGTGCTGAGTTTAGGGGGCAGATTCACACTCTGGTCCTGTCAGTGACTATGTCTACCTGGGTGACCTAGATACTAGGTGGGGTTATCCCTGAACCTATCTCACTCTCTGTTGCCAGATCTAATCAATCCAGGGATTGGTCCAGATCATTCTTTAAGTCCCTTCTCCTAAATTCTGGTTCTATAATTTTGAGTGCCCCCTTTATTTACCCAGTTAGATCTGAGTTCTATGTTACCATAGTAACCTAATACTATTGCTTGGGCATGAAAATAGTTGCCTTATGATGTGAATGTTCCTGTGACAGAATGTAAGTTAGAAGTTAAAGACAATAAACACAAGCACCATGCATGCATACACATGCTCCCCCCGCGCGCACACACACACACACACACACACACACAGCAACATGGTAGTAGAAAGAACCTGCTTGGAGATTTGAGCAAGATATACCTGTTTTGGATCTAGATTTCACCACTGATGGGACCTGAGATTTTGAGCAAGTTGCTCAATCTTCTTTTGCAAATGAGCATAATAATGGCATCTACTTCATGGGATATGTGATGATTTAGTGTTACAGTACATCAAACAAGACTAAAAAACAGTAGGTACTCACTATCAGTGCCAGCTATTATTAGATTATTAGTAGCTATTCCAATTATCATCTTAGTGTGTAATTACTTCAATCAGTTTGCTCCCTCTCTCCTTCCACCTTCCCAAACAGATAAGATCTGAGAGAAGACATGTAACCTGCCCCCAAAAGCTCACAGCTTATAGGGGGAAGAGATAAATAAATCTAATGTGGGGCTGGGATGTAGCTTCAGGGGTATAGCATGTGCTTAGCATGCATGAGGCCCTGGGTTCTAAGTCTTGTACCAAAGGAAAAAAAAACTCCCCCAAATGAAAAACACCTCCAGTGAAATGGAGAACTATAATAGATCTATTGTACACAAAGTGCCATGAAATATAGTAAACTTTGCTAGAAAGGGTCCATATCTTGTACCCCTATGTATCTTATACAAATATTTGTAAATGTGAATGATGGATTATTTCTAGAATGTTGCCTTAAGGAATCCCAACAAATTATTGGTTTATAAGACAAAGCACATGAAACTGAGTCCCTTTAGGTTCTTTTGGAACAATCCTTTGGATGAAGTTCAAGATTAATCTTTCTTATTCAGGATTCCACTCCCTAGCAAATGGTGGTACAGTGTAATTCTGGAATTATAATAAATAATCATTATTATATACACAGAAAAGATAATTACTTGGGCCTAGTTGGGAGTTAAAGAAAATGTTCAGATTGAGAGGCATCAAAGCAAAGCTGATTATCTTGGTAACTGAGTTCACACCACAAATTTGACGTAAGATTTGAAAGGAATTTATGATTCATTATGTGCTGGCATTAGTTCAAGAAGAGAGCATTTTTAGATACTTATTAATATAACAAAAAAGACAGTTTTTGCATCTCATTGAGATGATTACAATATATTTGGCTATTGCCTGCACTAATACAACACACCTGAGAATCAGAGTCACCTGAACAAGTCCTACTACCACAGACTAAATTAACAATTCCTACTGAAGCCTTCTGTATTGGGAAAGGCTCTGATTCTTGTTTTTTCCTTTTTTTTTTTTAAATGACAGACTGATGGGAGAAGAGAGAGGGAGAAGAATGTCATAATCAAAAGGAACAAACTAGACTTCATTATATCTGTTGCTAAGTACTTATTTCTTTCTGACATAATGACACTATCACATACAAATAATTTTCATTCATCCAGCCAGCCAAGAGCCACAAATACTGAACACACTCTCCGTGTACCTGGTAAGTGCTGAGCTCACAAAGATTGCCCCTTCTCTTAGAAAGTTCTCTAAAGGTCAAGAGTCCCCTGTAAACACACCTCCCTCCTCAGACAGGAAGCACACCACCATTGACCAGTTACAAATAGGCTAAGAAAGGAGGCCCAGTGGCTGCTTTGAGGCATATGACCTCACAGGGTCTCCTCCTGGCCCAGAGGATTGGAAGACAAAACCATATAGTGAACCACTCAGCCTGTAGTGTCTGCTTTCTTTGTTGCCCAGTAGTTTTTCAAAGATTTAAATACATACTGGTGATCTAAATTTATATACAAGTTTAAATTGCAGAGTATTTGAGCTGGAAAAGTGAAAGTGATTAACCAACCCAGCTCCGCATTCTTTTTACTTGAAGATCAGAAAGGCAAAATAATTCGCTCAGAGGACAGAGCCAGGAAAGGTGGAGCCAGGACCAGAACCCAGGTCTTCTTGCCTCTGCTTAGGGCTCCTTCCAACATGTCATGCTGACCCAGTAAATATCAGCATGCTGTTTGCAGGAACAGAGGACCATTCAAAAAATCTTTGCTAGCTGGTCTAGTACAGACACGGAGTAACCACTACGGAATGGCAATTGTACATGGCAGTGCTGTCTTATGCATGAATATAAGCAATGGTTATTGCTACATCCATAGCTACCTAGCAAGGATTTCAATTTTTAACCTAATCATGGTGGCCATCAGTGACATTTGCCAACTGCTTCATTTCCTTGGAGAAAATCATGCACTTAGACTATAGCATCTCTAGTCTGTTGCCAACCCTATAAACAGGTGGGAAGAGAGACTGAAAGTGTGTGTGAGTGTGGTGGTAGTACATGCAGACATCAGAGGACTGTTGCATGGGAACAAGATGACAAAAAGGCTGATTGCTGTTAATGTGCGTTCATCTGGCACAGGCAGCTGAAAATGTACACTATGATTAAAGGCCTTATCCAGATCATAGCCGTGGCCCTGAAATGGACACTGAGCGTGGGTGGAGGAAGCAAGGTAGGACAGGAAGCTCCTCTTTCCCAAGCCTGGCATCAGAAGAATCGGACTTAGGAAAGACCTGCTAGATCACCTCTTTCCTGGGCCAGCAGCAGGGTGAACACTGAAGACTAACAATCTCAGGGTTTCAAAGTGAGTCACAAATTCCCCTATTCCCTCAGGGAGATGCTACTTCAGAAGAGCATTCCTGTACTTAATGGAAGGAAGAGCTGGCTTATCTCCCAGATGATGCTCAGCATTCTGCTGTCCTTAAGTGCTGTGTGACCTAACCTCAGTTTTCTTGCATGCAGAATGGAAGATAGCACTGTATATGATATGTGATATATAGGGAGACAGTGATGAGAGAGATAAGACCATGTCCTAAGGCAAAACCATGAAGTTACTCTATAATGGACAACATCAGAGGTATATAAAGTTATCTGAAAGGGACATATAGGTACCAGGACAGCAGAACTTGAAATGTAACATAACTGAAAGTAAACAAAGATCATATCCAACAAAAGTGTATGTGCTTTGGGTGGTGGGGAGATTTTAGTACTAGCAGTCATGGAAGTACAGAAGCCAGACAGTCTTGGAGGAAAATGCTAGAAAGGTCTGTTGGATAGACCCTAGGAACAGTATCCACCCATCAAGGCCACTACAAACATCCAGTGGATCCAACAGAGGTCAGCAAACATTCCTCTCATGTACTTAGCCAACTTTCCCCACTGCTGGGCCCACTGAGCAATACTCTAAAAACTCGCCTTTTCACATCATTTGCCTCCATTTGAGAGGAAATGTGCTTGTCAGGATAATAAGAGTATCTGGTCTAAGAGACTGTTCTATGTCTCAAAATGAATTAAGACACTGTTGATCCAGTTTATACATCAGCCTCTTTTGAGCTTTGTCAGCGTGAGTTAACATCCTACAGCCTAAAACTTCAAGCTGATGAGTCTGAGTTTCTTGGTTTGAAAGGCTGACATTCATAGTTTTAAGCTCAGGGTCTTAATAGACATCAGTTTGCTTCAGGAACTCCTGAGAGGACAGTATTCTCAAGATTGTTCCATGGCTACCCACCGTGTGCACATAGGTAAAGGGGACAGTAATAATCCCCAGGGCAGCAGCAAGTGTAATGGGACACAAGGATGCATGAGGGAGGGGGGGCTGCAGGGAACCTGGGGTGAGGCCGAGGGTCGTACAAATGACAGAAGGGGATAACTGCTGAGGGAGCCTCCTCTTGTCCATTCCCCACGAAACCTGACACAGGTTGAATATCCCTTATCCAAAATGCTTGGGACCAGGCCGACACGATGGTGCGTGCCTGTAATTCCAATGACTTGGGAGACTGAGGCAGGATGATCACAAGTTTGAGGATAGCCTGGACAACCTAGCATGACTCTGTCTCAAATTTTAAAATAAAAGGGCTGGGGATATAGCTCAGTGGAAGAATGCCTTGAGTTCAGTCAAGAAAGAAAGAGAAGACCTCATCAGATAAAGGGGTGATTATGTCCAGAGAATATTCTAAAAGGAAAAAGTATCCCACATCACCTTCCCCAGTCTCCTCTTCACCACAGTTTCTAGTTCCGAGCCACTTACCTTTTTCTTCTTCTTCAGAATCACTTTCACTCCATCCACTGAAACCATAATGCTCACTTTCTTCTTCTTGATATTCTTGGCTTTAAACTCATACTGCAAAGGAGAAGAGAACAAAGAAACAGAATCTGATTAGACCAGTGCATCTTCAGGACCCCAGCTAGCCCACAGAGTGCCACAGGCAGTCCTAGGGGACTGGTGCACTTCCTGGGCACAGGGAGAACCTCAGGGGATCTTTTTAGGTAGTTTTTTTTTTTTAAAGGTAGATGTCTGCAGGCAGGGGCTCTCATGTAGTCCCTAGGTTAGAACAGGGACCTTAAATGGTCATCAATCCCACCACCCAGCCAACAGCTCAGACCAAAGGAATGACTCATCACAATGAGATTGACTTAATACATCCTACTGAAATGAAAATACAACCTGTTTTGAAAATCTCATCAACATATCAGAACCTTCCCTCCATAACTTATTCTATTATTTAATGACTTTGTCAGGAAAAAATTCCTTGCGTCCAACCAAATATTGCTGGAACTCCATTCTATCCCTGGTGAAGATTAAGAAGAACTGATACCAGTATTCATATCCGGTATTTTCACATATAAAAAATTAATTATGAATTTTTGGGGGGAGTGGGGGCAGGAACTGGGGATTGAACCCAGGGGCACTTTACCATGAGCTACATTCCCAGCCTCACTCCTTTTTTAAAATTTATTTTAAGACAGAGTCTCACTATGTTGCCTGGGTTATAAACTTGAAATCTTCCTGCCTCATCTTCCCAAGTGCTAGGATTACAGTATGCATCATGTTGCCCAGCCCACCCCTCTATTTTAAGTTCACCTTTGCAGTTCTGGACAGGCTAATCCAACTGCAGCTCTGAACTCCTGAGGAATGTAGCCCATCCACAATCCCATATCTTTCTGTTACATTTTGGCATTCACAGACATTTCTCATACTTGCACAGCTTTTTATCACTGGTGGTCAAATTCTGACTTCTCCCACAGTGAACTTCATTCTGAGAAATTCTTCAGTTTATTAAAACAATTTTTTCCAGGTGCAGTGGCAGACACCAGTAATCTCAGTAATTCAGAAGGATGAGACAAGAGGATTACAAGTTCAAGGCCAACCTCAGTAATTTAGCAAGGCCCTCAGCAACTTAGTGAGACCTTGTCTCAAAGTTAAAAAATAAAAAGGGCTTGAGATGCAGCTCAGTAGTAAAACACCTTAGGATTCAATCCCAGAAGGATGGGAGGGAGAGTTCTATGTCCTCCTGGTATTTGGCTCTGGACAGGACCCATCCCACATAAAACAGTCCCCTTTAGGTCAATAGTGGGATTATTGAAGGCTACAGTTGATCAGATTAGCATGCACTTGAGGATACCGCTCCAACTCACACTGTATGGCCTTGGCTGTACCATTCTGTTCAACTCTAGTGCTGGATGAACTGAAATGCCCTCTAGGTGGAATAACTGGAATGGCAATCTATGAATCCGCTGACCTTGACCATGTGCTTACTGGAGAGGTGAACTAGCCACTTTTCCTGACCACACCCACATTTACCTCTGCTCTTTTGGGCTTTTATCAACACAAATTTCCAGCTACACCTCCTTCAGAACAAGTCACTAAATCAAGGTTGCTCCTGTAACCAATAGAGTGCAGAGGGGGTGCTCCATTGAACTCCATTGAAGTTAAGAATGTAAAAGTCTGGATATTCCCAGGAAGAGGACAAAACCTGCCTTAGATAGATCAGTTGCCAACTATTAACAATTTTGGTCTCTTCCAGTAAGTCACTTTCACATGCTCCATACACTTCCCTCTTTCCCTTGTACAGCAACAAAAATCAAAGCAGAAATGTCAACTCTCTGCCTCTGCAAGGGACTATGTTGTTCTCCCCAGCCTGGGTTTTAGTGAGCAAATTGCCTGCTAAGCAGACCCTTAAATGCCTGGTATTTCCAGAAGAAGCTTACAGTTGACTAGACCTTTCTTTCTTGTTTGGTCCACTTCCCTGGTGGGTTCACTGTTTTCAGGACCTTTCTATAATCAAGACCCATCACCTAAGCCTGCCAAGAGGCACCCAGCCAACTCATTGCTTGTGTATCTGGAAACTTAAGTATTTCTACAGTTAATGTTTTGCCAAGTTTGGCCATGCATTTAATACCTTCATGTTAAGAATTCAAAATGCAGCTAAACATTTTGTTGGAAACTGGAAAACAGTCTCTAATTCAATCACCATGTACATAAGCCCAGATAGCTCCCTGTAAAGGGCACAGTGACTACATAGAAAAGCATGACCCAATTTTTTCCCAGAATCTCAATAACAGTGATAATGCCGGTGCTCCTTACAATAGCTGGTGGAATGTTTCAAGATGAAGAGGGTCCAGAAAGGCAGAAAGCAGATCTACAGGTCCTAGCACTCAGTAGTAATGGCAGCTGTGATATCTACAAGGACTCTTAGGTTGGTCACACTCTGCATCTATTCTATCTGCTTCCTGATGCCCCAAACCTCTTCCATCTGCAGAATTAGAATTAAATTGCACTTTGGTTAGAAACACTGGACACAAAAGTACTTCAAGTATCTGAAAAGGTTTAAAAATTTATCATGAAGCCTTTTATTTCTATGGCAATTATACTTCACTTAGATGACATGATAGTATGTTATCATGCTCTTTAGGGGGGAAATGGGTTTGAAAAGAAGGGTAGCAACGCAGTACCCAGGAGAACATAGAAGAGAAGAGCTCTTAGGGACAAGTCCTCCTTTTTCTCAGACTGCTGCTCTGTCTGGGGTGGAGCACTGTCTGGGCAGGCAAGCTCAGGAGGAAGCATCTGTGTTTCTTGGGACACGAATCCAATCTGCTAAGACTTTGCCAGGAGCTGAAGAACAAACAGGACTGCTGGTGCCACCGTCTGTGGCCCATGCCAGCCCAGAGTATGTGCCAACAGGCCTGGCCCTCCACCCACTGGCCAGGCTGTTCTGATACATTTGCTTTACTGGCCAGAGCTCTACCAGCAAGGGCAGAATAAATCCTACAGACCTGACCTTTGAGGGAACAAAACAATACAAGTCTGGGAAGACTAACTACAGATTGGAAAGCCTACAAGTGTTTGGGATTCATAAACAGAGCCTTGGGGTCTTGTATTGAAATAGCAGCCATGGAACTTAGTGTCCTGTGCCAATCAGTAAGCCCAGGAAGGGGAGACTGGGTAGAAGATCCAACAAGAGCCAGGATTAAACACTCAACAAGTAACATGAGCAGAAATATTGGCTGGATGCTGGAAGAGCTGCTTCCAGACCAACAGCCTGGCTTCTGAGCATCTCCTGATTCCCACAACTCTCTCCTAACCCAACATGTCCCAGCCCGTCACTGGGTATCTAAGGAGGGGCAGCAGGAAGTCTACAGCAGCAAAGTGGGTGAAACAGTTAAGATGGAGGTTAATGAAGGGACCAGTCCAGTCCTGGGCCTCAAGCTGTACGCAAAAATAGAAGCAGAAAAGTTGATTTCTTAGAGAAGTAGAAGTTGAGGCAAAAAAAAAAAAATTCCTTGGTTTTTTGCCAGGGGTTGTTTTTTAAACAAAAATATATTTTTCCCCCCACAGGAACCTTGGATCCTCAATCACCTGGACTACAAATAATTTGGCTAGTGAAATACTTTCTCATCTGCTTCAACCAAGTACATCAACCTGGGACCATCTTATAAATGGTTTGTGAGAAGTCCTTTTGTATTTTAATTATGAGCTTAATAACAGCTGGGAACAGCAGCACATGCCTGTAATACCAGCTACTTGTCAGGTTGAGGCAGGAGGAACACAAATTCAAGGTCAACCCAGATCATTTAGTGATACCCTGTCTCAAGTTAAATATAAAAAGACCGGGGATATATTTCAGTGATAGAGCATCCCTAGGTTTAATCCCCAATACCCCCCCCCCGCAAAAAAATTAAATAGAGTTTAATAACTTACATATTAAGTTACAAAATCTGAGAACTGCCATGTTCAAGATAGCCAAAAGGTGCCCATTAATGGAAGAATGGACACACAAAATGTGATCCATACATACCACAGAATGTTATTCAACCCTAAAAATAAAAAAAATCCTGACACATGCTACAACATGGATGAACCCTGAAGATATCATGCTAAGTGAAATAAACCAGTCATTAAAGATAAATATTTTATGATTCTGCTTCTATGAGGTACCTAGTACTATCAAATTTGTGAAGACAGATAGTAGTGTGATAGCTTCCAGAGACTGACAGAAGGAAGTAATCTGCAGCTAATATCTAATGGGTGCGATTTCAGTTTTGAAAAAATTCTGGAGATGGGTGGTGGTAACAGTAATACAAAATGTGAATATATACTTAATGGCACAAAATTGTCCATTTAAAAATTGGTAAGACAGTAAATTTTATGTTATGTATTCTTTACCACAATAAAGATACAAAACCTAAAACACTGTACGATTAACACATTTCTGCTCCCAGTAACTCCACTTTAATTCTTGCAAAAGAATATTTCTGCAGCTTCCCAACATCTAAGTTAAACATGCCATACTTTTTTCTACTACCCTTTAATTGCATTTGCTAATCCCCATGGCTAGAATGCCCTGCCCACATCATCTGCTAGGGAACTCCTGCTTATTCTAGAAGTATCAGCTCAGGCTTCTCCACAGAGAGGCCTTCAGGGTCAATGACCTTTCCCACTTCCTCCCATGGAGTTGCTCTATCCACTTGGTTAGTACCAAGTTTGTGGGCCTCAAGTATCACTCACTGTGGATTGGTTGCTTACCTATTTTCCTGGAAGGCCATGCCCTCCTTGAGAGAAAAAAAAAATCTTACATATATTTATGCCCAAGAAAATAGCACTAGAACCATACAAAAGTAATAAACAAAGGTTAAATTCATGAATACGGTTGATAGAGGTTACTCACAGAGCCCAAGAAAAGCTAACACTGTATACAAGGGTAATCTAATCTTTCCAGAAATTAACTGACAATTTAAGTTACTAAAACATGGATTACAAACCATGCTACAAAGACTTTAAGAAGATCTGATCTTCTTTAAATGGTCCATACCCACAGCACATTGCTGAGCACCTTAACTATG